TGGCTCAAGCATATCTTCCAACTATTCCTTTACTGATAACGTAACTTTAAAAGACACAAGTGAAGGTTTTCTATCACTGTGATGGATTACACATCCCAGAAGAATCCACTAATTGAGTTTTTTAAATATAAACACAGCAATGGGAGTGAGTGGCTGCCCAGAGAGACAGAAGAACACACACGAACCTGAGAACAAACCGACGTGGTTTTGTTAAAGATAATGCAAAGTATATTTAATTTGCTGTGAAAGGGGGAAGTTTTCTCCCAGCGCTCGCTCACCACGGCGCTGCCTGTCTTCTTCTGTCCTCGTTTTCAACAAAGAAAGTCACACTTTGAGTTTAGCATATCTTTTTTGTCGAGTGCCAGGAGTTTGGGAAACTGCGAGCTGCAACAAAAGAGCGCCGTGTTTCAGGCAAGTGTTCGGTAGTCTCATAGCAACAACGGGAGCCATGCTGAGCTTCCCACATTCAGAGCTGGTTGCTGTACACAGGGGCATAAAGTGTGGACTGCTAAAATCAGAGTGTGGAGCGAACGCAGCGTGATTCGGTGTCGGAAGCAAGGAGGGGAATTAACAGTAGCTGTCAGACGACTGTTGGTAAATCCTGAGCAAGTCAGTCGACTTTATCAGGTCATCTAACGTCATTCGTACCGATTACAGATTCATACGGTGCTCGTCAGACACTCAGAGTGGCTGGTGAGCTTGGAGTAATGGATAGAAATTGTTCCAGATTGAGCGATTTAGAAGGAGGTCGTGTGCAGACGTACCGGTCTTGGCGTCCACCGAGAAGTAAGGCTGCCCATCCAGGATGCTGTAAACCACCCGAGCGCTGTTTCCATACGTGGGATCGTCGGCATCTGTGGCGGTCAGCTGGATCACAGATGTTCCTGGGTGAACGCGGAGGCAAGAGGTTAGGAGGGGGTGACGCCGGTTACCATCATAGCAACCGCAGGCATCATTCTGGGTGGAGCTTCTCCATCTGTGGCCGGGTATTCACCGTGCACGTTTTACTTCAAAAGTGGGTTTATGAATATTGAATGAAGCAGATGGGAACGAGTCTGCAGGGCTATTATGCACTTTGCTATTGTTCACCCCGCATACAAACTCTCAGCAGCCTTCAAAACAAACAGCATGCACAGTAAACACTTTGCTCTAAGTGTCTGCTTGCCTTTCTTTCTCCTCGTTCTTACCTATTTTGGACATTTCTGGAACACTCGCCTGGTAGGGGCCGTCCAGGAACTTCGGCTCGTTGTCGTTGATGTCCTGGATCTTGACGATGAACTCGGACTCGGGCTCCAGAGGCCGGTCCGTCAGCCGGTTTCGGGCCTGTGCTCGGAGGACGTACTGGGCCTTGACCTCGCGGTCCAGCCTCTGGATGGCGTGGATGTCGCCCGTGCTGTCGTCGATGGTGAAGGTGGTGCCGGCGCCTTCCCCCGTCAGGATGTACTTAATGGAGCCGTCGCCTTTATCCATGTCTGAGTGGAGCTGTGGGGTTCGCAGAGGTGTCAGTCAGGTTTAAATCAAATTAACAGAAAACCTAAGGGGGTTTTGGAAGCAACTTATGACTACTAAAAGCATCCCAAGTGGTCAAATTTGCACTCAGACTGCTGCTGTAATTACAACAGCAATCACAAGTTTGCAATACAGAGATGTACGATGCACAAGTAAGAGGACAGTGACACGTTTTTCAGGATGTTCAATTAGGTCGCAGCTCTCAATTTTAGAACAACGCAGCCACACAGCGATCCTGAACATCCAGACGAGACAACCAAATGACTTTTCTGAGCCAAATGGTGGAAAGTCCAAGTCAGCCACATGATCTCAATCCAACTCAACATGTGTTCCATTCGCTGATGAGCGGCCTAAAGGCAAAAAAAAAAATCACCCGAGAGATGAGCGTAAGCAAAAAATAGAGGGTTTAGATCGTGTGTGGCGTTCAGTGTCTCCTGATCTGAACAGGAAATTATTTATTATCCAGGAATTTGTGAAGGTTTGTTGCTAATTGTTGGTTTTACAAGAGTGTTTTTGATACGGCGCACAGGACAAAATAAATGCACACAAACATTTCTGTCAACAGTTCAGGCGCTCAGATGCATAATGTGTTGTCAATGAGGGAAAAAGTCAATAATGTGTCGACCTCAAGGATAAATATAACAAACCAGGGCTTAGGTTCAGTGTGTAGGGTTTCGTATAGGTTGCATTTGAATGATTTATGATACTGATTCTTGAAGGGTCAGGTGGTTGGGGTCACTACAAGTCCTGCTTTTACATTGTTGTATGAGCATTAGTCATCTAGAAATACTCTATTTATAATTCAGGGGACTTGTTTTTTTCCTGCAATGAGTAATTTAACTTTTAACACCATCGTGCATTTCTCAGTATTTACTTAGATGTTTTTACTATAAGTAACACTGACAACACAGGACTTAAACAGTGTGGCATTAGTACTTTTGCTGCTCATATCTGTCCATCAGGCCAAACAAACCCTTAATAACCAATTAATTTATTCCCTTAAATGGAAGGCAGTGACATAAATTATTTGGTTTGTTATGAGAAACGATTCTTTAGCAGTTTATCAGAAAAATGCTAGCATGTTCTCAGAGAAAAGTGCAGCAATAAAGGCATTAAAGTTACTTTAATCAACTGTAATGTTACTACAGCATCCGCCTTTAGTCTCCTCAGTAAAGTTGTTTATCACAGTTAAACGTTAACGGCGAAAACACCGATTAGGATGAACTAATTGGTAGTTTCTTTTCTGGTTTCTTGAACATTTCCTTTGGCCATTTAACTGTCCAATCCTGTCCTTGTGAAGTGTTTTGTAGCTGCAGTTTTACTCAATTAAAGTGATTTGTTATGGGAAAATCAGTTTGTGCTGCTCACCTGCTAATTAAACAGCTGAGCAGGTTAACTGGCTTTGTTAACACGTCAGGAAACCAGAAGAGCAGCAGACAGTAGACGTACGGTAGGCGTTTGCAGTACTCTGTGTATAAACTAGCGCGAGTGAAGCTTGTTTAGGAACCAGTGTCCTTCAGAACTGGATGTTTGGAACTTCTTCCCGATGCACAACATTAAGTGTGAGCTCTGCAAGGTGGCGGGGTGAGCAGAGAAGCTGCAGGTTTATGGCTCAACACAAAATGAATCAACATCAGCTAACCCTGCTAGCACGATGCTATTAGCTGATGGACAGCAGCTGATGGAAAACCAGAAGCTTCCTGGGGAAATTTGCAGTCAGAAACGTCTACAGTTACTTCATTGAGACGTAATAAGACTTAATTAGGTAGTAATTATGTGGATCGCATGGTGCACCAAATAAATCGTGTGTTAGTACGCAGATTTACCCAAACCTGAGATGAGTAGACTTTATTTATGGAGCACCTTACGTAATAAGAACCAGAACTTAAACTTAAACCAGTACTAAAGAACTTTTTAAGCAAATAATAAAGACTTAACAGATCTTAGCTTAGCATACAAACGAGATGAAATAAGTGTTGCAAGCTAGCGGTTTGGGAAGAATATGTCTTTTCGCAATTTTTCCTGTCAAAATAGCAGATCTGACATCACCTCGAGCTCCAGCTGGCCTTTAGAGACTCAAGAATTGGTAAAAATATGATGAAATAAGAATGCACTGATAAGTTTAACTGTCTGGCTTCTTTCTGAAACCTACAACTTGCTGGACTTTGCGTAAAACTGGGCACAAACCCTGCACCGAGCATCCGACTTGGATAGCTACTTAATTCGACTTCAGCTACCTCTAAATTCAAACGCTTCTACGTTATTGTGTCTAAAGTGCACTAAAGTACATGTACGCTGCAGTATTGTCAGCATATTCTCTCATAATTGCCCCAGTGGCTGAATTAGCTGTAGACCTCCAGCGGCGGTGTGTTTTTGTACCTTAACACTGTAGCCGTAAGTAGACACGTAATCACAGCTTACTGCCTGTTAGTTGCCATGGACCCTGCAGCGCAATCAGAAGCCTTTTGTGGCCTGTAAGTGCAAATGCCAGCCTGTTGATGTGCAATCAGTCTTTACTTTGTACTTAGAGGGCCTCAGCGCGCGATGAGTGCTCGCCGCCGTCACACTGGCAGAGTGGAATTAAATGCCCCCATTGACGTCTGCCTTGTGTATAATCAACAGGCGTCGCGCTGGATCTGACAACACTCTCTCCGGCCCTTTCCGTCATCCAGGGGCCGCTAAGTGAAATGGCCGAGCTCGAGGTTGTCGAGCCGATAAAAGTTTCTCTCGTTGTTGTTATGCCGGCGACGGTTTCGGCAGCCTTCACAATACCTATCATCCCCGAGCAGCTTTTTTCCTATCTCCCCAGTGCCCACCTGCACTCCCTGCCGCAAAGCCCGGCTCGCCACAGAATAGATTTTTTAATCAACACCCGATTGTGGGCTTCAGCCCCGTGTCTGGCGGTGATATATCTCCGGCCGTCGCCTTTTCCTCCGCCTCCTCCAGCGCTGATCCCTCCTTTCCCTCAGAAGCCCATGAAAGGCGGGAGTTTGACACTCTGAGGCTATCAATTACCCGCTCCGTCTCAGCTCCAGCCCAAAGCCCACACCTCCGACATCCCAGCGGCTCTGAATACTAAGTTCCTTTGCCCTACCTCGCCTCTCCTCTGCTGAGGAACTAAGGATGGAGGCTACAGTACATCTCTCTCTCCTGCTTTGTCACATCCCACAATGGCTTTCCGCCTTGAGTGGCACCCTGGGTAATAGCCCGGCCTGTCGGAATCACTTACTCCATTCAGCTCGGAAAAATTAGGCCCGAAAAGAATCCATAAAGAAACTTAATGGAAACGAAGAAGAAGAGGAGGTAAGATAGAAGTGAATATGCTGCCGCGACTGTAAGGAATTTTTCACACTACATAAGCAGAAATTTTCCCTCCAGCTCTCTTCGGAGTTTGATTCGGACGCGTGGCTCTTTGGAATCTGGCATTTTCACTTGGTATTCCCGAGCGGAGGCGGCAAAGTTATTCCAGAGGTCTAATTAGGCTGGTTTGCGTTGCTCCCAAAGGGGAATTTCAGAGGATGAGCGGTTGATGCTGCAGCGCTTTAAAAAGTTGATGAGGGATATTGAGGCGGCGGCAGGTCTGGAGTTTTAGGATCAGGGCTGCATATTTTCAGGAATTTGGGAAAAAGACGGATCTCAAATTAAACTTCAGCCCGTATTCACTTTGACATGAGGTTCAGTACGTACAGTCGGGCTGCTCCGGAGCAGATTTAATGTGCTGTACCCGTCATACGCTGCAAGATATTATTAAACTTGGATAAGAATCGATGTTTTACATATTATATTAGACATCTAATGTTACATTCAGTTCCACTAAAGAATTTCTATATAATATGTAAGAACCAGGGTGAGCATAAATCTGCTACTGATGCATTCGTCTAGTCGAAAACCAGACCGATGCACTGCAACTCAACGGAAGTTACTCTGACGACTCTTACCATTACAGTTATACACACAAGAGAAACGTATTTAATGCTAACTGCTAGTTGCTGTTATGCTAATAAGGGCAGTTAGCCTAGCTTAGCATAAAGACTGGTATGCGATTCCTCACAGTTAGTAATAGAGACTTTTTTTTAAGTTAGAAACTTCAGGAATCCTTAATAAAAATCTATGGGAGAACTCTGCAACACCAAAGATGGCGGTTTCATGACACCCTCGGACGATGAAAGCCAATCATCTGCTTTGTAACAGTCATAATCAGGAAATATCTGGCCAATCTGATGAGATCACAATGTTGTGAAACTTTTAACACGTGCTGTAGAACTAGAATTTGTTGGGAAAACTGTTTCTAACCCGTATTTTAGGGCAAAGTCTTCAAACTTTTAGGTGTTTTTTCTGTTAGATTCACCTGGTGATCATATACACACAGTTAAAATTACAGTTACATCTCTTTTCTCATTTATTTAAATAGGGGTCTGGTCTTCTTAGCCCAACATACCTGCTTGTGGGTGTTACCAAGATGGCTGCCAAGTGGCAAGACTTACCATTATATCACATGTCATCTCAATTAAACATGCAACTGCTAGGCTAATGCTGCATTCACTGACTTCATGGTTTTCAGAGTGACAGGACAAGCTGCTGTTGTCTCTGAACTTATCTTGACTCCAGAAATCCTGAATACTGATGTAATTAAAATATGACTAAATAACAGTTACTGGTTACTATCTGCTACTGTTACCTGTTTTAATCATTGTAGTGCCATATTTATTGAAAACATCTGGTTTTGTTAAATGGTAATAAACTATTGGGAAAGCCACATCAAAGTATTTACCCCACTGAACCCCAAAACTCGCTAGCAGTTAGGAAGGAGGTCATCGTATCCAAAAAAAGACCCAAAATGACCAAAATGACACCATTTATCAGCCAGAAACTGTAAAAATAAACAGGAACTGAACATGTCAGGTGCAGTTTCATTGTGAAAAATTACCAAATTTACATTTTAATTCATGATATTTCATCTAAACCACTTTATTCTACAGGTGTGATTTAAAAATAGTCCAACCATTAGCACCAGATAACACTGGTTTAGCACACGTTGATTCCAGGTTTTCTCATTTTTCTTGTAAAATAATCAAAGAAAAGCATCTTTTGATTTCTTAAATAGGATTTATGCCATTCTGGCTTTGTTATGTTGTACAAAATGCACATTTCTGAGTTCTCTCTTCTTTCATCAATGGATGTGCTGCTTCTATAAAGGCAAAGGACTAAATAGAAATGTCGCTAATTAGCAATTACTGGCTATTACTAGCTAACGTTAGCTGTCAGTCTCATCTCTGTTGAGCTAAAACATGGTTTGCTTCATTTGCTGATGCTGGCTTGTGATGCATGTTTACCTGGTTAACACGCTCAATTAGTACTTTAGGAAACTCACCAGAGTGACCACAGCTGATAAAATCTAACCAGCAGCCTGCAAGTATCATCAGTCATCACTTCTATAATCACTTTCTGGTTTATTATTTACAAACCTGACACTAAAATCCCTTTTTTTTTTGGTGACATAGCGATAAGTTGAGCTTCCGTTTGCGGGGCCGTTGTGTCTCTTTGCCGATGATGACTGGAATTACAACTATTGATCAAATGTTCACATCCATTTAGCAGCCCAGTGATCAAAGTGCTCCTTTGTGAGCTCCTTTTCAGAGCACGTCGCTGCTGTTGCAGATGTGGCGTCTATTTCTGTGCAGCCGAGGCCGAGTGAAGCTTCGGTTCGAGTCAATTAACTCAATCACTGCTGTCTGGCTGCGGTTCAAAGTGGACACAAGAGCGGCTGTCTTAGTGCGGACTGAGTGCATCCAGGGATTAAATTGGGATTTTCTTTCCCCTTTTTTTTTTTTGCATTTATTGAAGCTCGCCTCTAACCACTCATGATCTTCTCTTTTGCATTCATGCGCTCAGCTCTGCAGATGACCTCCGGGTATCTGAGCTCCCCCTATAGATCTTTTAGTTTGAAAGCTGGAGTTTAAGTCTCCTTGCAACACCTACACCGGCATCGCATCAGCTACGCCAAGTGAAAAGGTCATGCAGAAACCCTGCTCCCCTACCAGGCCAGAAGCCTCGTTGTTTTTGCATTTCTTCGGGTTATGCTGCGTACATGTGTGCATGTACACTGACCTTTCCGATGTAAAGAGGTTCCAGTCCGGTGTACTCCTCCAGGACGAAGAACTGATTCCACACCCAGCCTCGCTTCACCCTCTGCAGCAGCGCCGAGCTTCCTGCATTTTCCTCCTCCGCCGGCTTACCCAGAAGGCTGTGGGGCAGAAGGGTCAAAATGCCGAAGGCCACGAGGAGCAAGGTGCCGGCAGCTGCTGGAAGGTGCAGTCGGTCTCCCATCGTCGAGCCCTGGAGTCGTATTTGAAAAGACTTCTTCCACCCTCGAGGGCAGTTATTTCTTGGTTCCCTTCTTTCTGCCAGTGACCTGGAAAAAGAAAAAGACAGATGAGTCTTACATTTACGTCCTTTTTGGACAGCGTCATCTTTTTTGTTGCGGCGCTGCTGGAGACCTGCGGATGACACATATTCACCGGCTTTTCTCCTGCCTCCAGACTCTCCGTCTACTACTGAGTTTTTGTTGAGATATAATGAGCTTTGTGCCTGTGTGAAGCTTATCACGGCTGAATGAGGGGGTTCGTGGAGGATGAACGGACGTAATAGGAGACGGGAAGGAGATGGGGAGGATAGGTACATGTCTAGATTCCACATTGAGGAGAAAAAAAGAGTGAAAAATACAGAAATTGGGAGGAAAAATTAAGTTTTGGCTAAATTTAAAAAGTCGATGTATGGGAAATGTTGTGACGTTAATTAAAATTCATGTCAAACTGGAGATTTTGTGCTCCAAAAACTAGTTTTTCACTTCCTCTGTTGCAGAAAAACAGAAGTTACGGCGCCTCTTTAACTACCAGAGAGTTTAAGGAAAAAAAAGAACTTAACACTGGATATGTAAGTGATGAGCGTAACTGTAGCATCCCAGGGGAGGCAATTAGTTTTGCTTAGCATAAACACAGCAATTTGTGGTTTTAAGTGGAGTTGGTTTATGGTCTGTCAAAAATAAGTTCGCAAGACGTGCTGTCCGACCGCAGCAACGGCAGATTGAAAAGTTAGTCGTCACGCAGAGCGGAACAATGCTTCATCGTGCGCGTAAAACTTTTTGACCTGGCTGTTGGAGGAGTTTCCTGAAGTTGTCTAACAAGCAGTTTCGAATTTAAATAAAAACAAAACTAGCTTTGCATAATGCACAGCGGCGGTGGGCGGAACATATATAACTCCTCCAACATATACAGTTAAGTCCCAAATTCTGATTTATCGTGAGTTTTTATTTGCCCGATAAGTTTTGTCTGGTTAGAAATTACATAAACAAGTAATACTAAGTTAGATATTGTGTCGGAAACGGTTAAAATTCATAAACGTTTTGTTTCGACTGTCCTGCCATTAAGCGTCACGTAGGTCTTTGTCATGGTGCTCCTTGCTAGCTAAACCCCCACAATGCTGTCTGCTTGCCGACATGAACCACCGCCCATTTGTGTCTGAGTTACAGTAAGAGGCTCCACCTGGTGGAAGACGCAGGTACTACAGCTAAACTACAACGCACTAGACTGGACTTGAAGACGTTTCATCCAAGAGGCTTCATCAGTTCTGACTGACTAGTTGGGCGTTCCAGATTCTTATATCCTTAAGGAGCCATTAACACCTGAGCTTCGGTTTCAATTGGGGGTTTGTTGCTCCGCCCCCTCGTTATGTGAGTCGTTAGTGCTCCCCCTGCCACAAAGGATGTAAGTATCTGGATCTCCCAACTAGTCAGTCAGAACTGATGAAGCCTCTTGGATGAGAGGTGGATTGTCTTCAAAGAACTCAAGCAGGTCCAGTTGTTACGATTAATCTACCAGAACAACCATGACCTGGATGACTGAGGATCTTCACAGACATGTTAGAACACATGTTCTGACTTGCATAAAGAGAATGTAGGTTTTCGCTGTCTTGTTTTGGAAGCTTGTGGAGCCACAGTACATCTTTCCCTCCTGACACTGGAGCTTCACACCAAAGTTCTTGAGTGCCTAACAAACAGCTTGAATACAAAAAACTGACATGTATTTTCTTAAAGCATGTACACTTTAATGTACTTTGAAGTGTATGTAGGGAAACGGCTGGGACTAGCACGGAGTCTGGGGTTAACACACTTGATCTGGAGTTCTTGTAATTCGTACAAAAGAAGCTGAAACAGGAAAAAAAAAAGCAGAAATTTGCTCAAAACTTTTAAACGAAAAACAGAAACTTGAAGCCACATTTTCAGGAGCCCACAGCAGCAAACAGAACCGACGAAGCAGCGCTGGCTCCTTTCTCCCTCCAGCTCAGGACAATCAGGCGTTTCACGTCGGCAACAAGAAGTGTAGCCACACTCTTTTTCCCTTTCCTTCCTCCTCTTCCTGTCATGAGGAGAGTAGAGCTCCTTCACACCTCCTGTAAAAGGCCCGGGGGTGCGATGTTCTGAGATTGTAGTGTTTCTGTTAACACCCCTGCTCAGCTTTACTCACACCATGTTCTACAAGCTCCCTTCAGCGCTGCACACCGCTCATTACAAGTGTACTGTGTATTTTTTTTTTTTCCCTCTTCCATATCGCAGCCCTTTGAAGGCCCCTATGGTATTGCCTGGATGTTGGATTTCGTGCCTCTAAATACCACCTCCTCCCGCATTGCTCTTTCTGATACGAACATCACAGGAATCTTTAAGATCGGCGAGGTCAATTCTGCGTCTTTTTTTTTTTTTTTTGCTTTTGTTTTTTGCAGGAGATGCTTTTTAAGGTATCGATTCGAGCTAATCGATACTTCTTCACATGCAGCTCATGGCACCTACGCTGCCGCTCTCCATCTGCATCTTGTTTTTATGCATTAGGAGGACGGCTGCATCTGCCCGCTGCATTAATGAGCTTCGGGAAGGTGGCGGCGGCGGCGGCGGCGGATTGAGGGAGGGGGAAGAAAACAGGCGGTCGCCGAAAAGGAAACGGAAAAGCAAAGAAGGGGGCCGTTGCAGCGGGACCGAGATGGAAAGTTTTTGGGGGGTTAGCGGAAGAAAGAGAGACTGTTTGACTCATGGCTCGACTCCATTATGCTTTGTGAGAGAGAGCGCATTGTGCCGCCGCGGACTCGCCCCGAATCGCCAAACTCAGTTAATCATTGTTGAAGAGCCACAAAAGGCAGCGAAGGGTGGGAGGCGTGGCTGCATTGTCAGCGGGAGGCCGGACCCAGAGTGTGTGTGTGTGTGTGAATGTATGCAACAAACCCCGCGAGGGGAGGCTTTGGCAGGACGGCTGACACTTGACCCCGCCGCTGAACTCTTTTTCTGCCTATTCAAGCCGCCTGCTTGGCATTATGAAGTAAAATTAGCTCCCAGCTCTCGACGCCGCCCCTCAAAGGTCACCCGGGCGTTTTGCACCGTTTTGTCGCGCCTAATGAGGTGACATGCGACGTAATTGTGCTGGCAAAACATTTCACACGTCTCTCTTTTCGCTGCTAATCTTCGCCTGTTTAAGGAAGCGGCAGCTGGAAAAGGGACGGAGGGGGCCGATCATATGAAAAAGCTTTGCCGTGCTTAAGGGCCAAGAGGTATTTTCCCACAAGACTGAAGCATTCCTTCCTGTTGAAAAGTTTTTGTGTGTGTGTTTGTGTGTGTGTGAGCAAGGGAAAAACAATTTAAAGCGTTGAAAACACAGGTATAGAAAATCTGCCCACAGTGCAAGAAAGCAAAGAGAGTGTTTGTCGAGGAATTGAGTGACAGTGGAGGAGCCGGTGATTGTCAGGGGGAGCAGCTGGCGTGAGAAAATGATGGGCCATATTGTTGTATCATCGTTCTCCGAGTCCACCTGCTGCTCCATTAACTGCGCTCCGACAACAGCCGACTATATCAAACTGTTCCTGCGAGGAGGAGGAGGAGGAGGAGGAGGAGGAGGAGGAGAGGTGAGCGTTTTCCCTTCCAGCCGAGGAGAACAAACGGGCCGGGGGGGGAAACAACTGCCAAGGTACGACTGACAGCAGCTCGAAACAGGAGAGAAGAAAAAAAAAAAAACCCTCACAAACCAGCTCCAATCCGGCGTTTTAACTGCCGGAGCTTGTTTTTATGGGATTTGTGTCGACTTTGACTGAAACGTCGGGGATCAAAAAGTTGGCTGTTTGAGACATTTCCGATTTAAAATAAGCACTTTTTTTTTTGTGCTGGTTTTGGACTGGATTTGGGCGACTTGTGCGAAGGCCAATTTGTGGTTTTCCGTGTATGTGTGCGGACGGCTGCAGACTGAAGCTGAAAACATGCTTCTATACAAAGTACCTGACAGCAGGAGGAGAGCTGCTGAGTTTATGGTGTTTGGCTGGACAGCGTGAAACAGTCGAGACTTTCCTTTTGCATGTCAGACCCTCGCAGACTTCAGCACATGATGAAAATTGCCTCGAGTCAAATCCTTGCCTTGTCCTTTCGTGAGAAAACCAAGCTACTGAACAACGTATTTTGCTTGAACAGGAACCAAAAGTTTGGAGCAAGACCTGGTTTTCAAAGTTTCCAACAAGAACAAGGTCCAATATTTAATCTAAACAAAACTCTGTTCCAATAAAGTTTGACGAGCGTCATGTAGGACTGAAACGATGATCGTAAATCAAGCAGAAGTGCCAAAAGTTAACTTGTTTTAGCTTCTCATATGCAAAGCTTTGCTGTTTTTCTTTGTCTTACACCATTTTAGACTGAACATTGTTGGGGTTTAGATTGTTGGTTTGATGAAACAAACCAATCTGAAGACATTTTAGAGGCTGTGATGCCCATTTTTCATCAATATTTTAGCATTTAGAGCAATGGTCGATAGATTATCAAGTAAATTTGAGTTAAAATGCGAGCAGAAACCTTTCTCTCTACTAAACGACTGTTCACTGAGTAAGACTGCCAACTATTATCAACTATTAGTTGATAAATGCATCAATTTTTTAAGAGAAAGTGCCAGAAACTAACTTGTTTTAGCTTCTTAATTGCACATACAGGCTGCTTTTCTTTTTCTTACCTGGTTTTAAATTGAACATCCTTGGTGCTTAAACTGTTGCTTTGATGGAACAAGTCAATTTAAAGGCATTTTAGGAGCTGCAATGTAGATTTTTTTTTCATTATTTTATGGTATAAACCAAATCATTAATACATAATTTGAGGAAATAAGTCTGTAACGCCATCAGAAATCTTCTTAAACTCCCATTTATGGAGAGAGCTCACCAACTTTTGATTCATAAATAAACAATATTCCAAGAGCAAATGACAAAAGCCAACTTGTTTGCACGTATAGGCTGCTTTTCTTTCTTACGTGGTTTTAAACTGAATATCTTTGGTGTCTGAACTGTTGGTTTGATGAATCAAGCCAATTTGAAGGCATTTTAGAAGTTGTAAAGCCCTTCTGTTTCATTACTTTATGCTATAAATTAATGCATAATTTGAGAAAATAAGTTTGTTCCACCATCAAAAACCTTCCTGTCGAGTAAGTCCACCAACTATTCATTGATAAATAAACTTTTTGACATGTTTTAGCTTCTTAGTTGCACATATAAGCTGCTGTTCTTTGTCTGATGTAGCTGTAAACTGAACATCTCTGAGGTTTGGACAGTTGGTTGATGAAACGGGTCAACTTAAGGACCGATGAATCAAGGAACCAACCCTTCCTGTCCAGTGAACTCCTGTCGGCTGAGTGCGGCCACCAGAGCTCAGTGTGTGGCACATTAGCATGACTGCGACCTGTTTAAGTGCTATGTGGAGCATTATTAAGTGTTAATTTCACAGTGGCCGTGTCTGCGCCGCGCTCACCTCGGCTCTAAAAAGAGGCCTCCCAGACTCTGCTAAAGGGTCCTTTTTAAAAACTGGGTGGACCCATGAAAACGGTCCCCACCCACCGCGGCGGGGCCAAACGTCACGGCCAATTTGTTAACCACAATTGATTTTGCACGGTGAAAGAAGAGGCTCTCGAGCAGCATCTCTGAAGTGAAGAGGAGCTGCATCGATGCACTTTTTTTTTTTAGATGCAGCAGCGGCGGCGGCTGCATGAGAAAGCGTCTTTCAATAAGCCGAGCACAATAAGCCGAGCCGCTGCCGGTTTGCGGAGTGCAGGAGGGTTTTTCTGAATCTAATTTTGCTTCCCGGGCCGGAGCGTGACAAGCCGCATTCCTCAACCAAGCGCAATTTTTTTAAATTTCTGAATGTTTATTTACTTATTTACACATAATTAAACCGAGACTCTTCTGCTGCTGCGTCTAACTTTTAATAAGCTGGTTTATTTTATTTGTGGCCTCTGGTGTGTGTTTCTTTTATTTGTTGTGTGTGGATGAAATGACCAGGTCTGGTGGTGTTTTTTTTTTTTTTTTTCAAAAGCAAAAAGGGTGTATCGCCTGCAGCAAGGACCCAGTTTCCCTCAGCTGGCTCACAGGGCGAGATGGCAACCATCAAAGGCAAAGGCAGGCTGAGGGAGGTGCACGTTCTGGCCAAACTCTCTCAAGATCACACAGTTGTTTGTTGTGCGGGGGTATGAATATGAGTTCGCAGCGTGCCATGTGCGGTTGCTACCCTCTATTCGTCCTCGTTCTCTGTAACCCCAACCCCCCTCAGGACAGAGTCGCTGGCACGGGGCAGGCTTTGAACCTGCCTCTCTAATTGTGGGGAGCTCCCCGGGCTTCGGCCTGTGCAGCTGCGAACGCCGCCGCCACCACCGCCGCCTCCCTCCCCGCGGCTCGCTTTACTGTAAGGTGTTTTTAATTACTCGTCCCCTCCCTCCACGCTCTACACCCACCACGAGTCCTCCCGTACGAAGACATTTGTCCAACATCTGTGCTGCTGCTGCTGCTGCTGCTGACTTATTTTTAGTCTCCTGATTCCTTAATCCTGGTTCTGGCCTCGTCCCCTTCCCCGATAGTTCATTCATCTCTCGCCATAAAAGGGAGCCTTGTCATTTATGGGGAAATTAAATCACACAAACTGGCATTCATCCCAGCCACTGGTGCATGGAAATGATGTCACCGTGCATAAGCGTCATCTGGAAAAGTTTGCAATCAGTGTCACAAATTAAAGCAGCGGCGTCTTTTAAAGTAGGAGGAGGAGGAGGGGGGACGACAGATCCTTTCAAATTAATATCGAAGCTGTAATCTCTTCTTGGAGTTTTTCTTTTTTTTGTCTGGGAGGAGATTTACTGCCTCTCCTGGAAACGTCGTTTAAGATGTGTCAACGACAAGAAACCCCCCCGAAAGGTGTTGTTAATATGGAGGCCCGCGCACAATGCTCATCTTTCAGAGTTTCCCTTCAGCGCCTCTGGCTGATAATGGCCAGAAAGAGTCTGGGCGAGAGCGCACACATGCCAATCTACTGCCTTATTTGTCGGCCGCAGCTTACAAGACGGGCGATAGCTTAATGGGTTTGATAGTGAGGGGAGAGGAGGAAAAAAAGTTCTCATTTTGAGAAACTAGAACCTTGGCTGAGGCTGTGGAATGAGGTCTGAATGCCAAACGGAGGTCCGTAAAAAAAAAAAAAAAAAGGCAGATAGGCATTCCTCTCCTTCAGCGTGGCTTGTTTGAAGTAGCGACAGTGCAGACGTGCCGAGAATCGCAGCCTCAGAAAGTTTTTTAATGTCCCAACCCTGCCTCCCACCACCTCCACCGGTTCTCTTGGAATATTCACCGTGACCTACTTTTGACAGCGTGTTTGTTTCTCTAAACACTGCTTATCAATTAAGAAAGAAGCAGCAGCAGCAGCAGCATCGATTGGGTATTCTTCACTTTGCAGCTGGAAGAATCCCCCCCAGCAGTCCTGTAGCTCGTATTACTGTTCAAAACGTGACCGGTGAAAGTCAAGCAAATGAAAAAAAAAAAAAAAAAAAAAGAGCCTTACCTTTCTGCTTTTTAACTTTATTCCGCCTTATGTGGGAAAAATTCTTCTTCTCTTATCTCTTTGTTCTTCTTTTTCCCTGCACGCCTGCTAAATTTCGCCCTCCTCCTTCCTTCTGCAAAAAAAAAAAAAGTTTTGAAGGCTGCTGCCTCCGGTGCATCAGTTTCCCTAAAGTCACCTTGAGTCCACGCCGTCTCTCTTTGGCTGGCCTCTTTGTAAAGTTCCCTCCGTCTACCGGCGTATAAAAATAAATATATGTCTTGTCGCGCTGCCTCTGTTCTTGTGGCTGCCTCTCATGCCTGTCTGCACGCTCTCATCCCGGAGTTGTTGCCTATCCGGGGACCCAATCAGGCTAAAGGACCAATTGTCTCTCTCTTTACAATCAGTGGGACGACCTCCTCCTCCTCCTCCTCCTCCTCCTCCCCAGGACTCCGGCGTAATCCAACAATCTACAACCTCAGGCATGTGGACGGAGAAGAGGTGGAGTAAGAAGAGGGGAGGGCAGTTTGGATTGACAGAATTACTGCGAGGAAGGGGGGTGCGAAACCGGGAAAGTGAGGGATGGAGGTGGTAGCGGCGGAGGGTAGAGCATCCCTGGGGTATTTGCAAGTGAATGAAGTGGTGGTGGGGGGGAAAAAGAACTCTAAGGAGTGTGGAGATTGCAAAGGGTGCAGGATCACTGACCAGCCAAGTAGAAAAAGGATGAAGGGGGTAGAGAAAGAGAAAGAGAGAGGAGAAGAAAAAAAAAAAATCACCTTCCCTCTCACGAAACCTGCCTTAATGCATTTTAATGAGCCGGTGTTGTACACGGCCGGATCTGTGGAGGGATTTATGGGCATAAAAGATGAAGCTTTAAACTGCATTATATTCCGCCGCTTGCCCGGTCAGAGTCGAAGCAATTAGTTTTCCAAATTGGCAAAAAGATCCAGAAAAATTAAGGGCGCGCGCCAACACACACAATGAGCGCGGCGGAAGATTAGTCATGGTCACGGAGATCTGATCCCTGTTTAGCGCCGAGCGAAGAAAATAGCAGTGTTTCATTTAAGCAATCATGGAATTAATGCAGCAAAAAGAGGGTTTTTCGGAGTCATATTTCTCCTCCTCGGGAGAAGGACGGGAAGAGAGAGGAGGTGGTGGTGGTGGTGGGGTGGAAGTGAAATCATATTGGGGGATGTACTCAACCATGTTAAAACAGAAATGAGAATATATTACAGGGAAAGTGTTGGAGGCGGCTGCTTGCGTTCATATTTTGTGTTCTTTCATTACGCAGTCTGAGCGGTTTCCATATTATGTTTACAGACAAAATAATGCGACGGAGCTCCAGACGGCAGCGAGTAAAGTTCCTCCACTGTTTGCAGCCCCGCCGGGACGACTTTGCTCTTTTTTCTTTTTTCCACTTGACAGCCCTTTGACTCTCCTTAATCTTCCTGACAGAGTAATTTGGTGTGTTGTACAGCTCTAAAAATACAGATGAAGGCTGTTGTCACCCACCGAGCCAGATGGTCAAAAGGTTGTACCTCTCCATTGGTTCAATATGTTTTTTCTTTCTCCCACTCTGTCCCTTTCAATATGTCTTCTTTCTCATTTGGCAGGTCATTCTTCTTCGCCGCCGCCCTCCCCTCCCCTTTCTCTGCCGTCTTTGTCTCTTTGAAGACCTGGCTGGTTAGCGCCCCGGCCAATCTGTTAGCAAATGCTTGACTGGACCCCCAGAAGAAGAAAAAAAAAAAAAGGCAGGGGCTCCCTCTTTGTGGCATTCAGGCCCATTGAACGGCACCTTCCATCACTGTGGCAGAGCCGGGGGGTAATAATTGGCAGAACAAATCGAACCTATAGCACCCATAGAGGGGCTTCTGTCCGCTAAAGCTGTTGTGGTGGCGGACGTCTGGGGGAAAACAAGTCCCACCGGGGTCGCCTCACAAAAGCCGCCGGATCCGCCGTAGCAATAGATTGGATACAGTTGTGTTCTGCGTGTTGCCGGACTTTGGTGTCGCGGCGATGCGTGTTTCGGGGGACACGGTGCTTTCACGGACCCTCCTCTCTGGGTATTCCCAGTGAAGCCGTGACGTGTTCTGTCACCTCGGAGCACCTTTTTACACGACTTACAACCAACTTTTGAGCTCCTTGACGAGGAAAGCAGATTACATGCTTGTTAGGTTTACATCAGGGTTCCCTTAACACGCCATTAATCAGACTGGTGGCCCGGTTTTGTTTACCCCTGAGCAGGCTGCCGTGACTTTAATATCCACATTCAAACTGAACTGATGCATAGAAAGCGTTGGAGGAAAATTACTGGTTTAGCCTTGGTTACAAAAAAAATGCAACTTCACAAAACTTTTCCACACTTTCATTTGGTGTCGTTTTGTCCAACTAACTGTGCGAAAAGATATTCAGCTCACACTGGCGGTTTCCATAAAGTGTTTTCAATGCGCGCATTCAGGTGTCGCGTTAGAAAAGATTGATGGAAATAGTTGTTGGGGGGAAAAACTTCTTTCACAACACTCGCCTTGCTTATAAACTGCAAGTATTTTCGACACTCAGACTCAATAAATACCGTAACAAGAAAGAAAACTCCGGCAAGGTCAGGTACAAGATTTAGATTTACTGTTCTCAGCAAAAAACGGAGGCGAATTCACGAACACAGGCGCTGATTCCGAGTTGAAAATCCACGTCTTGTACACCTTAATCGATGACACCTCAGTGCTAGGTGTTAATCTCTGTCTGGTATCTTTCTGTTTTGTCCGTCTACTCTCTCTGAGACATATCTGTGGCAAATTCTGATTTCCTTGAACAAAATGTGGACCTTTCGTAGCTTGTTTACAGCACTTATTAGCTTTAATTCATGTTAACATAAGCACAGTTTCACATCTCTCACATTAAACTGTATTCGCCCAACAGGTCGGCTTCTCGTGTTTAGCTGTAAATATTTATAAGACTTTGACTGTAGAGCAAATTTTGCAGTGTTTCCTTGTAGAGTAGTCACACCACAGTTAGTTCTCAGAGATGGAACGTCATGTCGTCCGCTCCTCATTTCCATAAAGTTGAAGTCTAGGTTGCTTTATGCAAATGGGAGACATCCGGTGCGAGTCGACGCCTCTGCAAACTCCCAGAGAAACCGTTATACTAACCGTCATCAATGTACCAGCCTCAGATGTTTTTAGAAACAGGCTTTTTTTTTTTTTTTGTACTGTAAGTTCCCAAACAAGCTGCCGTGTTGAAATCCATCTGAATGCGTTCTTCATCTGGTGCGAACAATATTCTATTCATACCCCACTACTAGCCATAATAACGGCTGTCAAGTTAAAGAAATCTGTCCTAGTTATTGTCTGCTTGTGTGTCAATTAAGAAGTCCTCGTCATGGCGCCGCTTTACTAGCTAGAGCCGCACAAAGCCTCCTTTAGTTGCTGTAGTACTGAATGGTAAGACCAGCTGATCTGCAACACTGGGAAAAATAGTATCAGGTATCAGGAGATGTTAAATATTAGGCGACTTGAATGAGATGAGGACGTCCCTACCTTTCACCCAACTGGATGTGTTGAGTAAGATTTGTATTTAAACGAAGCCACAGCAAAAACTCTAAACCCTTTTCTGTGTTGGGGAAGTTTTAAACATACAAAACTCGCATTTAAAGACAGTAAAGAGAGGAAAAAACTAAAACAGATTGTACAGATTCCTTTAACGGTGCTTTATGAGGAGGAAAACTGTTTTCTGCGAGTGTTGACCGGGGGAATCGGCGGAGAGGTGATCCCCCATCGTCTCAGCCTCGACGCTATCTTTGTATTTTGTTCCCGTGAGCCGCACAAAACCTCTAGGAACAGTTTCGGCAGCACAGCAACGCCGACTGAAAGCAGGTTCCCACAATTTCCGTCACTGCCACCGTTTCAAAGGTCTGGAATCGGAGAAAAGAGAGAATCCCCCGACGCGATAAACACCCTCGCCCGAGATTAAAAGTTAAGCGAGCTCTTAACAGTGCTGCGTCTCAAATCGGCGTTAAAAACAAAGACCTGTTGGGCACTCGATCAGCACTTACAGGAGTGGGAAGGTGATGCCCCCGCTGCTTATCATGCAACAGCCTTCAGATGGAATAACCCAAACAAAATCTCAGCCGCTCTCATTCGCCGTATCACTTCGCCACCACAACCACCGCTAGGGGAAAAGGCATGAAAGAGGGTTAGGTTTCAGAAGAACAAGATGAGAGAGCTCCAGAGAGAGGGAGCAAAGCCTCCATGTCATCTAAGATAAGAGGAGCAGCTCTCTTCCCTTCTGCCCGAGATTAAAAATGGCATGGAGCAGAACAAGCCCGAGTACAAAGAGCTCTTCTGTGTCTTTGGGGTGCGCAGCCGAGCCTTTTCATGTCTGATTTTGGCTACGGGTCGAAACAAAGGGAAATTAGACGAAGGAAGTCATCGTGTCTTTTGTTCGAGGCAGGTTGTGGAGGGGTGGGTGGCGGAGCAAACACATGTGAAGGAGGATTTGTATACACAAGGCAAGTTGCTGGTAACCTTTACAGTAATTGGTGGAAAAGACAAAAATAAAGATGTTTGCCCTTAATTGTGAGACATGAGAATTGGCACCGGGGTCGAAGGAGCGAACCGTGACATTAAGTGGCTGCCTGGCTTTCGCCCGGGCGGCTTCGTCTGCGTCTTTTCCGGATCCCGTTTTTTCCCGGTGACCTTTCCACTCCTCCCTCCTCCTCCTCCTCCCGTTCTCTCTCGTGTCGGAGCTACGCCACCTCGGCGGGGGTATCGACTTTCGCAGCCGCTAAACTTTGCCATGCCGCGTGCAGCTTGTTGCCGAAGCCTCCGCCGTGACAAGAGGCGGCATTCTGTTTGGGATGAAAGGCTCCCCGGGCTGTTTGATGCGGTATCCCAGCGGGGATAGGCAGGGACTTGGCCTTGATGAGCTGACAGGAGCCGAGGAGACGTGGGGCCTCGAAGCAGCAGGACCGCAAACCTCAGGAACGGCTCTGATATTTACCCCGCCCCGTTCTGTCATTCCCCATCACCCCCGACTCGCTGCTCCGTCCCCGTGACCCTGTTTGTGCCGCCGAATCTCAGCGACTCTTTTTTTTTTGAAGTAGGAAAAATTAGGG